CCCCCCCCCCCCCCCCCCCCCCCCCCCCCCGTGTGCCAGCATGGCTTTGCACACCATGGCATTTCATTTCCGAAGTAACTATGAAGTCCCCGTTCCTCACTCCCCTTTTGTAAATGAGGGGTGACAGAGATTGCCCAGGGTCACATGGACAGAAAGAAAGGGGTAGCCGTTCCTTTTTTGGATAATGACAGTGCTGGGCTGGGGAAGGGGGCTGGGGACGGCAGCTGCACATTATATGGACCGAGCCCTCACCCCCTCCTGGGGCTCTGTGGACCTCCTGGAAATGACAGACAAGTAAGTGGAGAGACACAAGTTCAGACTGTGACAAGCTCTCTAAAGAATCAAAGGGACACGGAAGCAGAGGTCTGAAGGATGCGAAGAAGCCGAGAGTGGAAGAGACAGGAGAGGGTGCACCCGGCAGGGAAGGGCCAGGGGAAGGCCTGGAGGGGGCAGGGAGGAGCCTGGCTCGGCAGGGGCAGGGAAGGCCGGGGCAGGGAAGGCCGGGGCAGGGAAGGCCGGGTGCTGGTCAGTGCAGATGAAAGCCAAGGCATACACGGAGGGCCTCCTGCTCCCGATCTCCCTGCCACCTCCCGTTCAGACCCTCTGCCCAGGGTAGCACGGCGCCTCACCAGCAGGCTGGAAACCCTAGCACGGTTCCGAGGCCTCTCCTCCGCCCCACATTTCCAGCCTGGCTCCTGGTCCTGCTTCTGGTTTCAGATTCAGGCCTGCCGGGCAGTTCTGTTTCTCGGGCCTCTGCCCCAGGCCAGCCTGCTGCAGACACCACTTTGGGCCACCACCCTGTGCCAAGCCCTCCTCCCCTACGCCCTCACGTCTCCGCCCTCCTCCTCCGTGCAAAATCCCCCTTAATCACACACTGTCTTGTTTTCTTTGCAGTCCGGCCAAGTCTGAGAGTCGATCCCCAAACAGGGCAGCCTGGCTGCGAGGGAGGGGAGCCAGGTTTCCTCGGAGATGCTGAAGGAGAAGCCCACATGCCCCCTGCTGCTTGGATCCCTCCAGTGATGGGGTGCTCACTCAGGCATTTTTCCATGTTCTGTTCTGTTCTTGTTTTTTTTCCTGTTACCTTTCGGGGGTTCCGTTGTGGCGCGGGGAGAACCCTTGCGTGTGGATCGGATCTTCCCTGAGCTGCGCTCTACATGGGCCTCTCTGGATTTCAGCTGCTTTTTCTGCAGAGCCCGGGCAGGGGGGACAAAGAAGAGGAACCAGGCTGTCTTCAGTGGTGTGCTGGGTGGAGAGTTCAGGGTGGCTGAGGATTCTCTGAGCCCTCCTTACCCCTTGGACCTTGTCATAATGCCCCCCCCCCCCCAACTCCAAAGGTCCTTCTTCCTGTGTCCTCCCCTATTCCTTCCTTGGAATCAAGATCCAGCCTGGCTGGGCTGCTCTGACTCCCCTCCTGCCGTAACCCCCTGCCCACCCCAGGTGGGGGCATCGCAAGTAAAGCTGGACCTCCCCGTCCCTCCCGTTGGCCCTGCCTCTCTCCTTTCCGGCACCGCGCAGGCTTGGTACCACATCTTCTTCCTGAGCACCTCTCTTTGGTCCTCTTCTCCTGCCTCCCCGCCAAAGCACCCCTCAGTCCTCATGGCTGTCTTCTGAAGCTGGGCCCCACCTCCCAACCTCCCAGCCTGTCTGTGCCTCTGGCTCGGGTGGGGAGTGAGAGATGGAAGGACTCAGCTTGGGCAGGGGAGGAGTGGGATGTGGAGAGGGCATGGCAGGGCCAGGGGCCGCTGGGAGGTGTGACAGTCCAGAGCACTGTGGGTGTGGGGGAGAAGATGAGGCTCCAGGGATGGTGTTAGGAGGGGTCTCAAGCCTGGAGGGCAACAGGGAGTCAGCAAGGGCTTTACAAGGACTGTGTGGGGCTGTGTGTGCGCATTACTGTATGGAAGTGACCCTGTAAGTGTATATGTGTGACCTCGTGTGTGTGTGTGTGTACACCTAGGCTTGGCCATTTCCCCCCAAGCCTTTTACTCCAGAAGGCAGGAGGGAGGCTGCCAGCCCAGGGGGCCAACACTGGAGGAGGAAATGCCTTGTAGATAGAGCCCGGAAACTGAGGCTCCGTCCCATCCCAGGGCTCCTGGAGGGACCTGTGGCTCCACACTTGGACCTCCCACACCAGGCCGGGGCAAACGCGCCACTGGGCCTCCATGTGGAGGCCGAGGTCATGTCTGGCAGGCAGAGGCGCCTGTGGGCCCGGGTCAGCGAGCCTCCTCTGAGTCTGCACATCTGGCTGGGCAGGCTGGAGGCAGCCCCTGCACCGAGGCAGACAAAGGCCCGACTGCAGCCTGCAGAGGAGCGGGTGGTGCTGGGCCCCAAGACCAGCCGCTAATTAGAGGCCCTGAGTCTTGAGCCTGACCCCTGGAGACACCCTGAGAGAGTCGGTGACCAACTCAGGGGAAGTGGGCGGCACCACTCCCACACCCAGACACAAACACACACACACACACCCTAGGGCAACCACACCTGCAGAGCCAGCACAGCTCAGCACACCAGACCCACAAAGGACCCCCTCCATCCCAGACACACGCGCGGACCCCTAGAACACACACACAGAAACAGACACAACTACACACTTCCAGACCTATGTGCACAGACACCTACACCCTCATTTACACACAGACATACACATATAAACAGTCCGGCCTACGCATGCAGACACACACTAATTCACATACACACAGATGACTCAGAGACAGACGCACAGGCCTATGAGCAGACACGTACACACATTTACACACACACACACACACACACCCCAACTGGAGGCCAGTTGCAAGTCCCACAAACCTAGACTCCGCAACCACACACACACACACACACACCCCCCGGCATTTATATATCACACTCAAGGGAGACACGGATTCTTGGAGACACACCAGACACACGTTTGGACACTGACACAGAAGACATTTACCTATGTGTACACACCGGTTTACACTCACACTTAGGCAAACAGCCCGCCCAGATCATCACGGCCACTCGCCCCCAGACGCACAAAGACATCACCGTCGACGCACCCCTTGGGCACCTACGTGGGTGGACACGCGCCCACACACAGCAAACCCGACGGCGCTCCCCGAACCCGGGCTCCGACTGGCTCCCGGGGGCGCCCACTTGGGGACGCCCCGCTCCGCCGCGACACGCGCGGCGGGACAGCGCGGCGAGCCACGGCCCGCGGCCACCCCGCCGGCCCCCGACACGCAGTCCCGCGGGGCCACGCAGCCCGCCCGCCGCCCGCCCCGAGGGCGCGATCGCCGCTACCTGCGCCGCGGGGCCTCCGCTCCGCCGTGGCCGCCGCCGTCTCCCGCCCCGCGCGCAGGAAGGGAGGGAGGGAGCGAGCGCGGCGGCGTGGCCGGGGGAGGGGGCGCGGGGACGGCACTTCCTGAGCCGCCCGCCAGGGTTATAAAAAACCCCCAAACCGCGCGGCCAGAAGCCCCGCCCGCCAGCGCCGCCGCCGCCCGGCCTGGGCCGCGGGCTGGAGCCCGGCCAGGGACCCAGGAGCGCCGCGCTCCGCCCGACCCGCGCCCTGCCCAGGGGGGTGCCGCGGGGAGGCGCGTGGGGGCCCGGGGAGGCGCGCCGTGGGGAGGGGGCGGCGGGCAGAGCTGGGTGGGCGGGGGTCAGGGCCGCGGAGATGGGGTGGTGGGGGAGTTTAAATGGAAGCGGCGAGGCCACGGGGAAGGGGCCGACTCGGTGGGAGCGAGGGGAAGGAGACGTGGGGGGGCATGGGGCCCGAGGGGGGTGCAGGACCGGGCGGCGGGTGGGGGAGGGGAGAGCCCACTCCCTCGCCAGCTTCAGCAGCATCAACAACAGCTGTTATTTATTGAGGTTTGGTCCTTTCTCAAACAAGCATTTATGGGGCGCCTCCCGTGTGCCAGGCTCTGTGCCTGGGGCTGGTGAGTAAATGCCAGTTGGCCCCGCCCTCCTGGAGCGCCTTCTGAGGGCTTGACCTGCCCTGGGCCTGCCCTCGGGTTCAGTGCTTTTAACTCCCTCCCGTGAAGTGGGCTAGGCTGGTCCCATTTCACAGATGGGAAAACCGAGGCCAGAGGGGATCCCCTTTGGGTCTTGATTGCCCCTGGGTGGGTCCTCAGACCCTGAGGAGTGGGTACATGAATGAGGGTGACCTGGATGGAGGGGCAGGGCTGAGATTCTAGCCCCAAGTGGCCAGTTTTCTCCTGGGCTTCTTGGTGCCTGGATAAGGAGGAAGGGACAGGCAGTAACACCCCCCCCCACCCCTGCACCTCACAATTCCAGATACTTACCAGGCAAGGCCCCCAGAGAGTGGGCAAAGCCTTGGCCTTAGGTTTTTCTGGCTCTGGGTTCCTCACCTCTGCAGAGTGTGGGCTAATAACACCCTTGTAGGGCCGAGGGGAGGAGGGGCTCCGTGGAGCAGCACACATTGCTCAGGTGCCAGGACCCCGAAGAGCACTCTCTCCCCCTTCACTTCCCCTTGAACATGGAATAACATGTAGAGCTCATGGATACAGCAGGTACTCCATAAGTATCAGATTCCTGGAGCTCCCGCACCCCTGTCCTTACCCCAGCCTCTCTGGACTCCAGCCCCAGACCAGAGAGGCATCTGGTCCTTGCTCCCAGGGCTCCCTGCGGAGAGCCTCTTGAGCCCCACCTGAGGAGCCAGTCCGCTGTCCCTGGCCTCTGCTGGACGTACCTCCATCACCCGTGAGCCTTCTGGATCAGCCCTGGGCCACCTTCCAGATCCCTGTTGCTCCATCAGAAGGTGGCTGCCCTTGTGTTCTCAGTTTGCCCTTGACGCTCAAGGCCTTCTCTCTTAGCCCAGTGGCTGGTCCAGCCACCTGTCCCGTGTGTGGCGATGGACGGCCTCCAGACCACAGTGGGAATTTCAGGACTGCTTTGAGCCAGGCACTTCCAGGCTGTGCCACTTACCAGCTAAGAAATCTTATAATTAATCTGCAAAACTTGGACTTTGGGTGCAGCGGTGCAGTCCTGAAATCCCAGTGATTTGGGAGGCTAAGTCAGGAGAATCGAAAGTTCAAGGCCAGCCTGGGCAACGTAGTGGGACCCTGTCTCAACATAAAAAAGGCTGAAAAGGGCTGAGGATGTGGCTCAGTGGTAGAGCACCCTGGGTTTAATCCCAAGTACAAAACCAAAAGACACACACACACACACACACACACACAGCCTCTGCCTCTTTTTATTTGTCCCCTCTCCTTTCTGCCACAGCTGCAGAGGTCCCTTGGGGTCTCTCTCCTCCTGTCTGGATGGAGTGGGGCTTGGCTTGTGCCGTCAGGTGTTGGAAAGGCCATACTACGCTTCGTCAATGAATCTTTTTTTTTCAGGGAATCCTGGGAAACAGATTTTTGCATCTTGATTGGATTATTTACTTAATGGAGAGGGTGGGACCTTGTGACATTGCCCAGGTTGCCCCTGAATTCATGTGGCCCTCTAGGCTGCTCTTTAGTCCGTCACATATTGACCGAAGCATCACCCCCTTGGCAAGCCCTGCCCTGATCCCCCCAATTTAATATCACGCCCTCCACACCTCCTCTCCCTTCCCTGGTTTACTTTACTCCCAGGAGTCACTACCTGACGTACTCTGTGGAACCCTTGGTTTTGTGGATCCTGTGTCTCCCTGCAGCATCTCAGCTCTGCGAGGGGAGGTGTTGTAGCCCAGAGATCTGGTGCATTCAGGGCGGTCTGGCTTAGACAGCAAGGTCATTCCTGACGCGGCATAAAGTCAGCTCTGCTTATCCAGGCTGGAGGAGAAGATGTTCTGCAATATCTACGTGGGGACTTGGCGCTCACTGAGGAAGGCTCCCCAGGCCTGCGTCCCGAAGCTCAGGCATGGAGAGAGAATTGGATATTTCTTTTTCTCCCCACTTTTGTTTTGTACTGGGGACCCACCCTGGGGCCTCACAGCATGCCAGGCCAGCACTCTACCTCTGAGGTCTATCTGCAGCTCTTTTTAATTTTTATTTTGACACAGGCTCTCACTAAGTTGCCGAAGCCATCCTGGGACTTGCAATCCTTCTGCCTCGGCCTCCCAAATACCTGGGACTGCAGAGGTGCTCCACCAGGCTCAGCAGAGGGGGGTGTTTAAAAACCCACCTTAACTCCTCTCGTGAACTTCCCTTTTCAGTCACAGGATCTGAGACCAGGCTGGGA